CAATTCTCGGGGAGATGTCTGCCTGGAGGTAGGAGGGGGGAAAAAGATAGACTTGGAGTGAGTGGAGACAGGGGAAGCAAAGCTCTGTGGGGAGCCCTACAAAGTGGGGCAAGTGGGCACCTCCCCACACAGCTCGAGACGGAAAGTCGGTCCTGCCTGTACACAGGGTGGCACTTCCCAGCATTTTGGAAACACACATCTTTGGACCCAGCTGTTCCACTTTTAAGAATGTCGCTTGAGATAGCCTCATGCAAGGGCACAATAATATATATGAGAACGTCCACTGAAGCCTCATTTGAAGTTGAGAAAACTTGGAAACAACTCGAATGCTGTTTAGCAGAGGACAGGCTAAACAAATTACAACACGTCTGTACAGTGGAGCCTGAAGTAGCAAACGGCGCATGTCTGTAAATATGAACAGGAAAAATATTCATTATACAGTAAGTGAGAAAGACCAGTTGCAGGATGGCACAGGTATGATGATACTGTTTCCATAAAAACTAAAAGTATACCTGTGTCTGTGTGTGCGTGGAAAAACACGAGAGGATAGGTATTAATCTATGACCAGAGTTTGTCAGTGGGAGTTGGGATTATAGGATATTTTCTGTACAGTTCTGTAGAGTTGATTTTTTCTTTTCTTTCTTTTTTCATTGAGACAGAGTCTTGCTCTATCATCCAGGCTAGAGTGCAATGGCGCGATCTTGGCTCACTGCAACCTCTACCTCCTGGGTTTAAATGATTCTCCTGCCTCAGCCTCCCAAGTAGCTGGGATTACAGGCAGGCTAGGTTTTGTATTTTTAGTAGAGACAGGGTTTTGCCATGTTGGCCAGGCTGGTCTCAAACTCCTGACCTCTGGTGATCCGCCTGCCTCGGCCTCCCAAAGTGCTGAGATTACAGACACGAGTCACTGCACCCAGCCTGAGTTGATTGTTTTTAATAAACATATTAGTCAAAGAAAAATACACAGAAAATAGTGAAATTACGGGAAATATGGCAACTGTCTGACCTTCATCCTAGAAAAACCCTGATCAGTGTCCCTGTATTGCATCCCAGATACCAAAATTGTAATACATTCTTCATCATGCTACGGTCCCAGTGAAAACCCTGAGCATCTCTCATTTCTTCCCTTCCACTCTATCCTGACTAATTTACTGTCCACAATTCACAGAGTATTGTCTCCGCTCTGCGTAGCCACAGAATGGGCGTGGTAACCTCTCCATGGCATTTATGGTTTCTACAAATCACAAATCATATAGGAAGGGCTCCAAGAATATTAGAGAAATGAGCAAGTTAACTCAGAGTCTGTGGGGGAGCTGGCAACCCCCCAAGAAAGCTGGACATCTCCAAGCTGGCCACCAACATTCCATAGCCTCTCCACGACCAGGGTGGGAGCTGTCCTGGATGCACAGTGCCATGTCCACAGGCTGACATGAGGGGCACATTCTAGATCAAGTGCCTGAGAAGGGCTTCGGAGACCTGGATCCTGTCCCTAGACAACTATGGGACCATGTACCAGTCACTTTCCCTTTCTGGGTCCGCGTTTCCACCTCTGTATAGAAGAGTAAGACTTGGTCAGTGTTTCTCAAAGCACTCTCCTTGGAAAACTACGTCTGGGATATGTTATAAATGTCCCTGAAGAGGCTTTTGTGGTAAAATACACTTGAGAAATGCAGCTCTCTGTATCATGCTCTTGGATTCCCAACACGTTAGCAGGTTAGCGTCTCCAAGGTCTGGCAGTAAATAAACTTACTTATCGATGCTTATACCATGTTTATTTCATGTTGGCATCCTTTAAAATATTTTTTTTCCTGAGCATCTTGGTGATACATGCACTGAATTAAGTGTTATCCACAGTCACTTCTCACTCCTTGAATCCATGACCACGATGAGTCGCTCTCCATGCCACCCCCTCCATGCTGCCTGCCATCATCCTGCAGTGTTCCTGCAGCTGAATGTGGAGTATTTCAGGTGATCCCTGGAAAAACGAAGCTCTGTTTTGTGAGAGAGAATGGGTTAGCCTCTCAGTACAGATCCCAGTGAAATGGGATGAAGGAGAGGTAGCCTAATGACAAAGGAGAGGGGAGGGGAGTCTAAAAGGGTTTGAACTGCAGCCAGGAGCACCCAATGGGGTGGTGCAGTTGGGGGACACTAAGTAGGAATAACATGGAGGGACACTAATAAGCGGGGAACTACAGAGGAATAATTTTCATAATAAGTCTATTAAAAACAGGGAGGCAGGACAAATGATCAGAAGGAAAGGAAGGTTCTTGGCACCTGTGCAGTTCACTATCTTATTTGTGGCTGTAGCTTCTCTCTTCCCCTGGATTTAAATACCAATTTTATGTTGATGGCTTCCACGTTTGAATATAATCTTTCGAGGAAGAGCGTGGGCTTTAGAGTCATACGGCCCATGCCTCAGTTTCTTCCTCTGTAACATGGAGTTAACCATAAGATTTACCTGCTAGGTGTGTGTATGAAGATTAAATGAGCTGACACATGGGAAAGCTCCTAGAATCATAACTAGTGCATAGTAAGCACTCATAAATGACATGATCATGATCAATTGTTATTATTCATGTTTTCAGCTGTCAGTCCTCTCTGGCTTGACACTTCCACTCAGATGTCTCCAGGGCATCTCAGGCTTAACAAAACTGAATCAGAATTCTTGATTTTCCCAACAATACCCCACCTTCCCCAGCCTCCCTGTTTCAGTGAATGGCACCTGATATACCTGTAGCTCAAGTTTGGAACCTGAGGGTCAGGTGTGGTCCTCCTTTCCCCTTCCCTTTCATATGCACCCCACCAGGAACTTCTGCAGAGCACAAGAGTCCACCCCCAAAATATATTTTAAGTCCATCTACTTCTTCCCACCTCCCTCCCTTCTCTAGCCAAGCATCCCTTCTCTCTGGGTGAAGGCAGCAGCCTTCTGTGTGCCCTCCCTGTCTTTCTTCTCACTCCTTTCCAGGGAATCTGCACTTGTGGCCCCAGCCTTTTGTAACAAATGTACCTGTGACCATCCTAAGACCTGTGGGGGCACAGAAAAGGAAGCCCATAGCTACCCCTGCTAGTTTTTGGTGTCCATTTGCATGAAATGTCTTTTTCCACCCCTTTCTTTTAAATTTATGTGAGTCCTTATGTGTCAGGTGAGCCTCCGGAAGGCAGCAGATAGTTGGTTGGTGAGTTCTTATCCATTCTGCAGTTCTGTATCTTTTAAGTGGAGCATTTAGGCCATTTACATTCAATGTTAGTATTGAAATGTGAGGTACCATTGTATTCATCAGGCTGTTTGTAGCCTGTGTACTCCTTTGTTAGTTTGTTTTTTGCTTTTGTTTTTTAGCTTGTATTTTTGTTTTACAGGTCCTGTGTGATTTATGCTTTAAAGAGGTTCTGTTTTGATGTATTTCCAGGATTTGTTTCAAGATTTAGAGCTCCTTTTACCAGTTCTTGTAGTGGTGGCTTGGTAATGATGAATTCTCTCAGGATTTGTTTGTCTGAAAACGACTGTATCTTTTCTTCATATAAGATGCTTAGTTTCACTGGATACAAAATTCTTGGCTGATAATTGATTTGTTTGAGATGCTGGAGGACAGGGCCCCAATCCCTTCTAGCTTATAGGGTTTCTGCTGAGAAATCTGCTGTTCATCTGATAGGTTTTCCTTTACAGGTTACCTGTTGCTTCTGTCTCACAGCTCTTAAGATTATTTCCTTTGTCTTAACTTTGGATAACCTGACGACAATGTGCCTGGGCAAAGATCTTTTTGGGATGAACTTCCCATGTGTTCTTTGTGCTTCTCGTATTTGGATGTCTAGGTCTCTAGCTAGACTGGGGAACTTTTCCTTAATTATTCCCCCAAATATGTTTTCCAAGCTTTTAGCTTTTAGAATTCTCTTCTTCCTCAGGAACACCAATTATTCTTAGGTTTGGTCATTTAACATAATCCCAGACTTCTTGGAGGCTTCGTTCATATTTTCTTATTCTTTTTTCTTTGTCTTTGTTGGATTGGGTTAATTCGGAGACCTTGTCTTTGAGCTCTGAATTTCTTTCTTCTATTTGTTCAATTCTATTGCTGAGACTTTCCAGAGCATTTCACATTTCTAAAAGTGTATCCAAAGTTTCCTGAATTTTTGATTGTTTTTCTTTAAGCTGTCTAGTTCATTGAATATTTCTCCCATTCAATACTGGGGGTGTCTATTCCAGAGAGGAGGGCCTACCTTTCCCACTTCTGCAATTGGAGCACTCACAGGATTTGGGGTGTCTCCTGGGTCCTACAGGAGCAGTCTGGTACCTTCAGAGGGTCTGTGGGTCCTCTTGGGATTGCTGGTTTGTTCTTGCAGTTGATCTGGAGCTAAAATTCACCATGGAAGCCTCCAGATGCTGCTCTGTCTGGAGTTGCAATCTAGTCCTGCCACCCATCCACTCTGATCCCCTCCATCTCTCTGTCTACTTTAATCAGATAAGCTCAAATCTAGAACAAAGGACCCATATATGAGCCTATGGATCTGCCTTCAGACACTTGAGAAACCCTCCAACTCACCGTGAGAACACTGACCCGAGTCGGGATCTCTGCTTGGCTCCAACAGCCAGACACTCAGAGAGATAGACCCAGCAACTAATGGACTTGGTGGGATGGTTGTCCTCAACGCAGCCAGCATTTTTATCAGGATGGCGTCTGATCCCGTATTGTTCTGGGATATTCAGAGTCTCTTGACATGTATCTTCACTTAATTGTGAATTTAAAAAATTATAGATGGATGTAGATATAGATACAGAGATTATAGACATAGATATAGATAGACTTCTCTCTTTGAAGACTTCCTCTCAGAGTACAAGTCCATGGTTACAACCATTTTGTTTCTCAGCAAACATGGAGAAGTCTGCCTTTCCTCTCTGAGGAAGTTAACATAAATGTTTATTGACAGTGCGGTCATCAAGGATTAAAATTGCTGATTCATTCCTTTACACTGAAACCCTTTGTTGTGCCCTCCTCTTCCTTCCTCTTTATAGGGAGACACTCTGAGAAAGAGCACATTGTGGAGGCCCACTCCATGTGATGTTTTCTTGATTGCCTGTTCTCTTTTCTACCTGCGGAGCACGGTTCCCATAAGGGCAGCGGGATCAGCCTCCTGTCTCATCTGGAAGACCACCACTCTGGGGTCTCAGAGGAATGATGGAAGCCTTGGGGTTTCTAAAACTGGAAGTGAATGGCCCCATGGTGACGGTGGCCCTGTCAGTGGCTCTCCTGGCCCTTCTGAAGTGGTAAGTGCAGCCAGCCCTAGGGACTGTGACAGCGTCAGCAGTCTCACCCTGGAGCCTTGCTGGTGCCATGGCGGGGTATGCGGGCGTGTGTTTTTCTTCTTTTCTAATCTAGCGGGAGTGAGTATTAGCACAGCTTCAGAATTAAAAGCAAACAGCCAGGTTAATCTTTTGCTAAAATGCATGAGATTGAAGTGTCAGGAAAGGCTGGTGATTCAGTGACTGAGAACGCTACACATAATTAAGTTTGAAAGAGATGGAAAAAGAAACAAATTGGAAAGGCATTAGGTTTGGGTAGAAGTATTTCCTCGAACCCCGTCATATCTCCTCACCTCATTTTTCTAAAATCTTCTGTCCTTGTTGGATTTACAGTGAATTCAGCCTCTTGGTTCATATTACATTCAAAACAAAATAAGACTTAGGAGCTGTTTGGCAAATGTGGGCCTCTTTGCGGGAAGTCATTGAGGGGGATTTCTGTAGGTTTAAGGACAAAGTGGTAGATCTAATTTCTCATATTTGATAGAGGGAGATGGATTCTGATGAACATATTGTGTGCAGTTCCCACAAAATTCGAGACCCCGAAAGGATCTCAAACTTGAACTCCGAGTTGCTCCCCTGTGGTTTTGTTAATTCAACAGCAGATTTTCCTAAGCCTGACTCTGGTGTCTGTAGATCGAAGGCCTCATAATATGCTACATTTATGCATATTCACCCTGCCAGTTAAACTTATTAGAGTTACCCATTCAATCAAAAGCACCTGGATTTAGACGGCTCTGGCTTTTGAGGGCAAAGTGGAAAAAATAATGGAGAACTGGAGTCTGAACAGAATTTTAATTTATGTTTTTGGTAGTAATAAAGCCTTCTCTAGATTAATAACTGGGAAAGCACTTTGAAAAGCATCAAGCATTATGCAAATGTGAGGTATTATTCTTTTGGAATTTGCATAGCTGAGAGTGGAATTCACGTTTGATGTTCTATGATGATGAAATTACTTCTTGGAAATTGGCTCTGAAACCCAGCCTCAGTCCCAGTGCTGTTTTTCTTTTTAACTGGTTTAATTATTTTTTTTGAACTTTTTTATCTCATTGTAGCTTATCTTGGATTGAAACTGGCCACATGTAAAACCAAGAGCAAATGGTAGCCCCTTCCCTGCCCCCAGCCCCCAATAATCCATCTTAATGTGTTTTTATGCTCAGGGAAGCCCGAAGCACAGTGTCTGACATGTAGAAAGTGCTTAGTCGATGTCAGCTACTATAATTCACTATCTATCGTCTATGTAACCTAAAAGAAAATAAGTCTTTAGTGGTTTAGGTTTATTTTTAATTTCTTACTAACATGCTTATTCATATCAATCTTATCAATAGCTATGCTCTGACTATGGTTCTCAGAGTGGACACTTTTTTACACTTTTGTTTCAGTCTTTGTTGTGTCTGAGCCCCCAGCTCAGTGCCTGGCATATAGGAACACTACACCATTCAGCAGGGCAGCTGTGTGTTTGCTGTCTATTCTTGGGCCATATTAATAACCTGGTTCAAAGATGCAGAGATTAAGATAAATGTACCAAGCAGAAGTGGTAAATAGGAAGTGAGAGCTGACTTCTATTTGTTATCGCAAAAATATGTATTAACCTGTTAATGTGTGCCCAATCTTGGGGAGACCCTGGTACAAGGTCAGGGAGCAGGAAATCTGGAGAAGGTGCCCAAGGCAGAGGAGACACAGAGGTTCTGGGGGTTAGCTCGTTGTCTAGAGAGGACACTGCAGGAGGAGCGGAGGCAGCAGGAAAGAGGTCGTGGCCCTGGCTCTGGTGCTTTTGGGTCCATCCCTTGATTCAGTGCAAGGGGAACCACCCTTGGGCTTTCAACCCTTCTGTTTCAGGTGAGACCCTAGTCAGCCACTAAGCAACAGCCACCAGCTTGAATGAGGCAAGGCCCCCTTCCTGTTATATTCTCTTGAAAGGATATGTGTGGAAGAGACAGGGGTGCTTGTCCTCCAGTGAGAGGATTCACAGGCAAGGAAAGATGCAGGTATAGAGACACTTGCAGGAGAAACTGGCAGGAGGAGTGGGTTAAACACTGCAGCACATTAGTCTTTGCTTTAAGTGCTACATGTGCCATCCAGCCAGGTGAGATGGCAGCGGAGAACCTATACCCTGAGAAGGTGAAATCAAATGGGCTGGGTGTGGTGGCTCATGCCTGTAATCCCAGCACTTTGGGAGGCCAAGGCAGACAGATGACTTGAGGTCAGAAGTTCGAGACCAGCCTGGCCAGCATGGTGAAACTCCATCTCTAGTAAAAATACAAAAATTAGCTGGGCGTGGCAGCAGGTGTCTGTAATCCCAGCTACTCTGGAGACTGAGGCAGGAGAATCACTTGAACCTGGGAGGCAGAGGCTAATCTGAGATCATGCCACTGCCCTCCAGCCCGGGTGACAAAGAAAGACTCTCTCTTAAAACAAAACAAAACAAAACAGAAGGATGGAGTGGATCATGGTGGACAGAAGACAGGACTAGATTGCAGCTCCAGACAGAGCAGCATCTGGATGCTTCCATGGTGAATTTTAGCTCCAGATCGACTGCAAGAATAAACCATCAATCCGGAGGGGACCCACAGACCCTCTGAAGGAAGTGGATTGCTCCTGCACGACCCAGGAGACACCCCAGATATTGAGTGCCCCAACTGCAGAGGTGGGAAAGGGAGACCCTCCTCTCCCAACACACTCCCTCAATATTGAATAGGAGAAATATTCTAAAAAATAGATAGCTTAAAGAAAAAAAAAATCAAAAATTCAGGAAACTCTGGACACACTTTTAGACATGTGAAATGCTCTGGAAAGTCTCAGCAATAGAATTGAACAAGTACAAGAAAGAAATTCAGAGCTCAAAGACAAGGTCTTCGAATTAACCCAATCCAACAAAGACAAAGAAAAAAGAATAAGAAAATATGAACAAAGCCTCCAAGAAGTCTGGGATTATGTTAAATGACCAAACCTAAGAATAATTGGTGTTCCTGAGGAAGAAGAGAATTCTAAAAGCTTGGAAAACATATTTGGGGGAATAATCAGGGAAAAGTTCCCCAGTCTAGCTAGAGACCTAGACATCCAAATACGAGAAGCACAAAGAACACGTGGGAAATTCATCCCAAAAAGGTCTTTGCCTAGGCACATTGTCATCAGGTTATCCAAAGTTGAGACAAAGGAAAGAATCTTAAGAGCTGTGAGACAGAAGAACCAGGTAACCTGTAAAGGAAAACCAGTCAGATGAACCACAAAAGAATCCCTATAAGTTAGAAGGGATTGGGGCCCTGTCCTCCAGCATCTCAAACAAATCAATCATCAGCCAAGAATTTTATATCCAGTGAAACTAAGCATCATATATGAAGGAAAGATACAGTCATTTTCAGACAAACAAATGCTGAAAGAATTGCCATTACTAAACCACCACTACAAGAACTGTTATAAAGAGCTCTAAATCTTCAAACAAATCCTGGAAACACATCATAACCTCTTTAAAGCATAAATCACACAAGACCTATACAACAAAAATACAAGCTAAAAAGCAAAAGCAAAAAACAACAACAAAAATCCAAAGTACACAGACAACAAAGAGCCCAATGAATGCAATGGTACCTCACATTTCAATACTAACATTGAACGTAAATGGCCTAAATGCTCCACTTAAAAGATACAGAACTGCAGAATGGGTAAGAACTCACCAACCAACTATCTGCTGCTTTCAGGAGACTCACCTAACACATATGGACTCACATAAACTTAAAGGGGTGGAAAAAGGCATTTCATGCAAATGGATACCAAAAGGGAGCAGAGGAAGGGTAGCTATTCTTATATTAGACAAAACAAACCATAAAGCAACAGTAGTTAAAGGAGACAAAGAGGTGCTGGGTGTGGTGGCTCATGCCTATAATCCCAGCACTTTGGATCACAAGGTCAGGAGTTCATGACCAGTGTGGCCAACATAGTGAAACCCCATCTCTACTAAAAAAAAAAAAAATTAGCAGGGCATGGTGGTAGGTGCCTGTAGTCCCAGCTACTTAGGAGGCTGAGGCAGGAGAATCACTTGAATACGGGAGATGGAGGTTGCAGTGAGCTGAAATTATACCACTGCTCTAGCCTGGGTGACACAGAAAGACTCTTTCTCAAAAAAATAAAAAAAAGAGAGAGACAAAGAGGGACATTATAAAATGGTAAAAGGCCTTGTCCAACAGTAAAATATCATAATCCTAGACATATATCCTCCTAACACTGGAGCTTCCAAATTTATAAAACAATTACTAATAGGCCTAAGAAATGTGATAGATAGCAACACAGTAATAGTGGGGAACTTCAATATTCCACCGACAGCACTAGACAGGTTATCAAAACAGAAAGTCAACAAAGAAACAATGGATTTAAACTATACCTTGGAACAGATGGACTTAACCAATACATACAGAACATTTCATCCAACAACTGCAGAATACACATTCTATTCAACATCACATGGAACTTTCTCCAAGATCGACCATATGAGATGCCATAAAACGAGCCTCAATAAATTTAAGAAAATTGAAATTGTATCAAGCACTCTCTCAGATCATAACAGAATAAAACTGGAAATCAACTCCAAAAGGATCCTTCAAAACCATGCAAACACATGGAAATTATTCAATAACCTGCTCCTGAATAAGCATTGGGTAAAAAACAAAATCAAGATGGAAATTTAAAAAATTCTTCTAACTGAATGACAATAACGACACAACCTATCAAAACCTCTGGGATACAGCTAAGGTGGTGCTAAGAGGAAAGTTCATAGCCCTAAATGCCTACATCAAAAAGTCTGAAAGAGCACAAACGTACAATCTAAGGTCACACCTCAAGGAACTAGAGAAACAGGACCAAACTGAACCCAAACCCAGTAGAAGAAAGGAAATAACCAAGATCAGAGCAGAACTAAGTGAAATAGAAACACACACACACACACACACACACACACACACAAATATAAAAGA